ACTGGACCTCAGGGACCTGCTGGGGGTGTAGGGACCGAGAAGATCACCAGTGTATGATGGTGCTTGTCCATGAGGTCATATATGATGTTGTTCCACTACACTGCCAGGCTTAAAGCCATGAAAACACACCGTTGCACTTCTTGAGCGATGCCAGCAGTAAATAAGTCATTAGGTCACATGTTTTGACATAATCTACATAGATACGACATTGCATCGCTGCAACAGTCAAATCTAGAACGTTACCAGAGGTTTTACACTGAAACCATGCAGCCCTGTCAATTGCAGTAACTGACGTGTCCCAGAAGCATTGCGTGGCAAAAATAGAACCGGATCTGATCTTTAGCGGCGTTTTATTTTTTACGTCGGCTGACCGCTCCACGGCTCAGCAGCGCGATGTTGCTTGAAGGCATTAAAATGTTTTTCCATGCCTGCAGCATGCCCCAGAGCTCGGATTTCCATCCCGCGTGTCATGGTTGCCCGTGACATGCTGTAGATAGGCAGGTTCATTTACGTGCACAATATTTCTTAACGTAGTTTGCATTGCCCATTTACCCAGTGAACCTGAAATATCTGCTATGTCTAGGACAGGTGTACTGCGGCCGTGTGTACACCGAGTTTCAGAGGTCAGATAATTAGCTAATTGCTAAGCTTCGGTGGAATTTTAGTCAGGATTTAACAGAACGTTTTATAAATGACACCCCACAGATCTCGGATCGAGTTATTTTACAGATTCGACCCAAAGACTTTATCTGACAGCAGGAAAATAAATTCCTACTGACAATTATTTTCCCAAGCTGTGGCCTGTGGGCCGTTTGTGCTAAACAAACACATTCACTCATCGTGGTAATAAACCAGCAGAGGTGAAGCTTTAGTTGGTGAGAACCTGGGACTTGTGGCCGAGCTGCTGGTTGATGGTTCGGAGGTCCTCTAGCTGCTGCCGGAGCTCCACCAGAGCATCCTGCTTCTCACACACGTCCTTCTCCAGCATCTTCATGGACAGCTCCATCTCCTGCTTCATCCCAATCTGCACCTCCAGCTCCCGCTCCACATCCTACGAACGGATCAGAGTTTACTTCCATGACTCACACACCTCTTAGGATAAGCGTTAAAGTATATCACATTTAAAAACAAACTTTGTTTCATCTCAGAGTTTAAAACCGACATTGAAACGTACCAGTCGAAGCAACGTTTCCTCTTTGAGCTGCTTCCGTGTTTCTGCCAGCGTCTGTCCGTCTGCCGATGAGGCCTGAAGGAAACAACACTTTGGCATTTCTGGTCTGAACAGTTGAAATGCTGAAACTTGGACACATGCTCTAATCAGAGGTGAGTTTCATCTCATATAAAATTGTTTTTAAAATGTTGATCAGACTCGTTTTTAACGGGATGGGATGTCAGTTGGTGGAGGTGGAATAAATCACAGACTAATAAAGATAAAACCGACAAAATGAAGAGTTTAACTATTATCTCTCAGCAGGATTCTTAGATTCACCCAAAACAGCTTTCAGGGTGAGTTTCGTCGTTTCCAGGATCTTTCAGTAAGTAAGTACATTTTATTTGTATAGCACTTATCAAAGACTTTAAATATGCATCGTTTCTCGTGCATCGTTCCACAAATGTGGAATGACCTACCAAGCACGACCAGAACAGCGGCTTCCTTTTCAATTTTCAAGAAACTCCTGAAGACCCTGCTCTTCAGAGGGCATCTTCTAAACTAGCACCCTCCCTGCACCCGTCCCCCCTCTCTACTGTCCACTCCTGGTTCCCTCCTCTCCACGATTGATGTCAAGTTGTTGTTATTGTTGTTGTTAGCCTCAAGGGCAACATGCCGATTATCACTTGTAAGTCGCTTTGGACAAAAGTGTCTGCTAAATACATAAACATAAACAAATAAAAGGTCTTCAGCTGTTTTTAAAAGAGTCCAGGCTGTCAATGCTACATAAGGATAAAGGAAGATCATTTCAGAGTCGGGGTGCAACAGTCTGGAAGGAGCGATCACCTCGACTTTTATTTCTGGTCTTTGGAACTTCTAGAAGGTTCTGGTGTGTGGACCTGAGGGCTCGGGTTGGAGCACAAGGCTTTAACAGTTCAGTAACATAGGGAGGAGCTTGACCATGTAGAGCCCTGAAAGTTCTAGTCAGGACTCTAAAATGAACTCTAAAGTTAACGGGTAACCAGTGCAGAGACGTCAGAAACTGCTGAAGGCGGTCAAGGGCTTTTTTGTTAAAACGTGAAGAGTGTGTTTCAGTAATCTAGACGGGAGGAGATAAAGGCATGGAGAACCATTTCAAGTTCATGTTTTGTCACCAACCTTATCAGTTTGGAGATATTTCTTAAATGATAATGACGGGACACACGCAGCGGGATATATGCTCGATTCCTGGAAGAAGTGGAATGTCATCTGTCTCTCTCAGCTGTCCATTGAGGACGTCGAAGATGTGTGGATATTTGGCCTGATGATCACTGGATTTCTTCTGATTGGAGTGGGAGGATATCTGCTTTTCCCAAAAATTGGGATGACGGGAGCGATTGGAGGGCGACCCGCAACCCCGGACGGCACCGTCCGGGCGGAGACCTCACAGACTGGGACGTTACTCGAGGTGAATCGCAAGCTGGACAATGGCTTAGCTGCGTTACCGGTGTTAGTGCGCAAAATAGATGTCATCTCGGAGAGAGTCACCGGACGGTGTGGAGATGTTTAATCACCGAATTGGCTTCAGTGGAGAGGAGGAGGGGGGGAGGGGGAGAGAGAGAGAGAGAGAGAGAGAGAGAGAGAGAGAGAGAGAGAGAGAGAGAGACTACTAAACCCAAGCGAGCGCGAGAAGAAATTTTGACGGAAATTTTTTCTGATTGTTCCAACTGACGGATTTCCGTCGCCACGGCGGAGAACTTTAATCCCTGTCGTAGAGTAACGGGTTGTCATTTACATTTACGGAGTCATTCTGGTTGGAGTTAGTTTTATCTGAGTGCAGCCTCTGTTGCCATGCAGTCTGGTTACCTTGGCAATGCTTGTAAGATCAGGGAGCACAGGAGCTTCTGGAGGGCTCTCGTTGCTGGTAGCAGACCTTTGAGGTTTATTTGTCGCTCTACAAAGTGTCCCGAATCACAGCATAGTTTCAGAAAGATCTCCTTTCAGTGGAAACGCATTTACTTCAGAGAGCACTGACAAATCCGTAATAATAATAATAATAAGAAGAAGAAGAAGAAGAAACGATCTAGAGCATCTTAAGCAAAATCTCACGGTGCTTCACAAGGACAACAATATAATAAAATTAAACTACAAATAATATGAATGAATAAAAAAACGATTAAGAACGTCATAAGAATGGGAAAAGTAATAATTGTGATTACAAAAACCCAACAGCCATTCTCCAAAGTCAGATTCCCGTCGCGTGTTTTAGCACCAGTCATGTGACTCAGCTGTTTTTCCACAGAAATATGTATTTAATGTGTAAAATAATTAGTGGATGACGGAGACCTTCGGTGTTCCCCGTTCTACTAGATGAAGTTCCTACACACAGGTACAACATGATGAATACCACACAGTGTGTACGTTAGCTCCTACGTACAAAATACGCACCGATGTGTTCGTAAGTACGGTTGATACATGAGGACAAATGTTGTAGAGAGAATTAGATCAAGCAGGAAGGAATTAGTGTTGATAGAGACACGCTGAGTAAACGTGCAGGAGCAGATACATTTAGTGGACGTGAATTAGCAGGATTAGCTCCATGGTGTTCATACAAACCACTCATGAAGGGAACAGGAGGAGAAACTACTGAAGAGGAGAAAGAAACTGTAAAAGACTTGGACGGAGAACCCGCGCCACAACGCTGCCTGGCGGGGACTCTGAAGTGGTGTTCAGGATGCCAAGCAAAGGACCAGAAGATCACGCCGATGTTTCCTAGATAAACCACGCTTTAAGAGAAGTCTTATTCTCACCTGGATTCCTGCTCATTCACCCCTTTTCTCAGACGTTTTCCCGGGATCGGATAAACATTGCTTGTGGCGTTCGGGTCGTGAATCAGCGTTTGGCTCCGTGCCAGCGCGCTGCTTACGTTATCAAAAAGGCAGATAAATCCTCGGCGCATCTTGGGAGATCGCAGACGAACGGAAGGACAAAAGTGTCTGGCGATCATAGGAGATGGTATCTGGGACGCTACGGAAGAGGATCGCAGACGGAAGCAAGGCGGGAAGGAGGAGGTTAGTAGAAAAGTGCGTAAACGTGGCCGGTGACCGAGGCTGATCCAAGCACAGGAGCCATGTTGTTACTGACGACATTTAGATGTCATCATTGATTTCAAGCACCTATAAAAACCCTGAAGGTGGTGAAATACGTTTTCCAGTCAGAAAATCAGAGATAGAGAATATTATTTTATATATTTATTATTTAATACACAACAATGAAGCAAGGATGTTTTTACCTTCCTGGACTCCAGATGAAATGAGCTCTCCTCCTTCACTCGCTCCACATCTTCTTGTAAAGTGATGATCCTGTTATTTGCCACCGCGAGCTGCAGAGACACGCCAGTAAACAGGAAGTTAGCGTGGGTTTGCATCCAGGATGGAGTGCAGCTGAATGCTCACCTCTTCTGTCAGCTTTGTGTTGGACTTTTCCAGAGCGTCTACTTTGGCCTGGAGGTTGTTTACAGACGCGCTGCAGATGGACAAACAGGAAGTCATGAAGCAGAGCGAGGGGAGGAGACTGCAGAGGGTCCATCAGCTCAACACAAACCTCAAATGTCTATTCAGCTCCTCCACATAATTCTTCTGATCCAAGATGGCCGTGATCTGACCGTCACTAAAAAAGTCCAAACAACAAGATGATCAGTCGGGAGGAGACGTGGTGCTTTTCAGCTCCATTAGAGGGTTAAATGTCAGGTCAGAGGTCACTCACCCCTCTGCACTCTTACTGCTGTGCCCACCATCTTTCAGGTACATCGAGAAATCTATGACTCCAACCTGCAGAGGAGACGTTACACCTGAGTCAGACAGATGCTGATAGGTGTGTGTGTGTGTGTGTGTGTGTGTGTGTGTGTGTGTGTAAGATGGTTTCAAAAGAAAACCAAATCTGATATTTTAGGTTCAGAAAAGAATAAATGAAGGAAAACATTTGAATGTCAAGTAATCACAGAAGGAAACAACAGTTTCCTTCATAATACTATGTTTTAGAAAGCTGATGTGAAAGTGGAGCCGTCCCAGTCCTCCCAGTCCTCCCAGTCCTGATTTCAGACTCAAACAGGAGATTCTGCAGCAGCTTTAGAAACACAACATCTTCCAGCTGCTGTATGAAGAGATGGAAGTAGAACCTGCGAGTCCAGGTCTTCGCCCTTCATGCACAGGTTGGCATCGATGACGTTTAACCCGACAAGCAGCCCAGCGATGACGGCGCCCTCCTCCTCCATCATCAGAGCATTTGGCTCGTAGAATTCACTGCAGACGTGGCGAGAAAACAAAGGCCCTATTATTGAAAGAGACTCTTCCAGTGGAGTTTGGGCATGCCTTTAGTTCAGTTAATAACCTTTAATAGGGTCAGGGTTAGGTTAATAACCTTTGTCTTATTAAATGTTTTCACATACTTTGTCATCGCTGGCTGGCTCGTTCACTACTCGGTGTTTAACTGATGTTCTGTAAAGCCTGATTCATGCTTCTCCGTCTGCGTCAGTGCGGAGACACGCAACGTCCTTGCGGGCCTGCTGGAGAGCTCCGCAAGGACGGACGGAGTCGAGCTCTCTTTTCTAAACATCCGTCAGTCGAGACGGACAACGCAAGCTTGTGATTGGTCACGACGCCGCGGTCGTCTACACCGCCGCCATCGCGCTCTCAAAAACATAAAGAGAGCTGAAGATAACTAGCGGCAGACACAGAGAAGCTTGAAGAATACCTCGCGAAAAAACTCTAAAAACATGAACGTTTAATTCTTCCGTGACTGGAGGAGTGAAAAGATGCGCAGCAAGCGTTTTATTTGTGGACGGAAATGACAGGAAATGTGGATTTAGAGGTGGCGAGCGCATGAAGAGGTGGAGGAGGACGAGAGACAAATTTGTCCGTGTTAAAAAGTCTCTTATATACAAAAAAACACAATACAAACACACCATCTTGGACCGATACATGACAGGATACCACAGAACAGCACTACGCCCTCTGCTGTCCTGCCGGGGAATTGCTTTGCAACACTCTCCAGGAGACGGAGAAGCATGCGAGCAAAACGCTTCCATCAATCCATGCGTGTCTGTCCCTTGCGGAGCTGACGGAGAAGCATGAATCAGGCTTTAGTCTTCCAGTTTTAGTCCATTGTTGTTTTTTGTAGTTCCTTGTACCAGTTTCACTGCTTAGTTTTGGTTTGCTTCAGTGCTTCAAGTTTTAGTAGTACCCTGCAACTCTAATGTTTTGGCTTTAAATTCTAGGTTAGTCCTGTTACCTGTTCAAACGAGTGAAGTTCTGGTAGTTTAACAATGTTCTTCTGTTCTGTTCTCAGTAATTACTGGATAGCCCTTTTGTGTACTCAAGTATTGAGTATTTCTACTTACAAAGTAGGGTTACAAAATGTTTTTCACTGTATTTTAATCTACCGACCTCCCGGTCCAGCTGGCCCTTTTCTCTCTGAATCTGCGGATTTTCCATCATCGATGATCGAACTAGAAAAAGTTTTAATCCTTGGTGATTTTAACTTCCACATTAATGATCCTACTTGTGGCACAGCAGTAGAGTTCATGTCTGTTACAGAGTCTTTAACTTAGAGCAGCACGTTTCAGGTCTCACACACTAAATGGGCCACACTCTAGATCTTGCCGTTTGTTTGGGACTAAACATCAACCATGTACATGTTGAACAGGTTCATGTGAGGGACCACAGCTGCATTTTCTTTAATGGCCAGTCTAATGCTGAATGTGTCCCTCACAACCTGAAGTCAAAGAGACGTACCATTAATCAGTCAGCAGTGGATGGATCTTCTAGACTATTTGACAGCAGCTCAGTTCATGGTGATAAGCCATGTTTGTTTATCCAATGACTGAACAAGCAATGCTGCAGTATCTTGGACAAAGTGTCTCCCGCTAAAGTCCTTGGTTTAATCAAAACAGTCCCAGTCTCAGAAGGACATGCCGTGGAGCCGAGGGGCGTTGGAAGTCACCTAGAGCCTGCACTTTAAAGGACTGATAACACCTTTGAATGAGGTGGTGAAAATGCCAGGGACACCTACTTTGCTCAGCTGATTTTCTCAAACAAAAATAACTAAAGTTCTGTTTGACTAACCTGGCAGCAGCCAGATCTCTAAGGCTACGTTCACACTGTGACTGAAATGCGACATCAAACTATCTCCAGCGTGAACGCTCCGCGGCACCAAAGCGACCCGCATGCGCAGAAGACAGGAAGTCAGACTCAGTGGCGACGGAGCCGGATTATTATTGCAGGGGCCCCTGGGCACAATGTGCTGTTAGCACACAGAAGCTGGAAATTTTCCAAGTGTCACTTAGGATTACCAGACGTACGAGATTTGAGTTGGATCACCAGGCTGCTGGAGGTCCAGCCGGCGTGGACTAGGGTCTTTAACCCAGGGGAGTGTGCTTGATAGTGGGCCGCAGGGTTCAAGAGGTGGGCAAGGTCCTCCATGGTCCGTTCCCCGGGTCTCTGTCCCAGGTGGTAGCCAAGTGAGGGTGTGCGTGTTGGGGGGGTGATGCTGAGGGTGGGTTACCTGGAGGTGTGGATGATGTTGGAGAGGCTGTGTGGGTGGGAGAAGGCTGCGGGCTGGAGAAGGCTGATCCTGGGTGTGATGCTGGTGAGTGAGGGGACAGGGCAGAGGCTGGCTGGATGTGCCATGGGCAGGGGGAAGCTGCAGCCTGGGTGGGTGGTGGGGGATCCAGAGCGGGCAGGGAGAGGTAAGACCTGGGCCTGAGCTGGTCCGCTGCAGCGCGCCACAGGCTCCAGCAGGTGATGGCAGGGTGGAGGAGCAGCAGTCTCCAGCAGGTGGTGGTGGGGTGGAGCTTGAGTTAACTATGTTAGCTTAAACTTGTGTGCTAACATCACAATATAGTACAGATTACTATCATGTACCAGACAGGTAAAGTTGGTATAATATTAATACTAATGAGCCTATGTCAGCGGTCTCATACTCATTAATATCCGTTCACCTAACCTAGTTTAGCTTAGAGGGAGGGAGAGAGTTCCTGGGACGAGTGCTAGAGTTGGATCAGATGACAAGGGAAGATGCCGCTGGACCTGGCAGACCCAAACGCATAGTGAGGGTCTGCTGGGAACGCTTGGCAGAAGAACTTGTCAAGACGGTCTTCAGCTCCCACCTCCGGCAGAGCTTTGACCACGTCCTGAGAGTAGTGGGGGACATCGATTCCGAGTGGGCCTTGTTCCACTCTGTGATTGTTGAGGCGGCTGTTGCTAGCTGTGGTCGCAAGGTGGCCGGTGCCAGTCGTGGTGGCAACCCCTGTACCTGCTGGTGGACACCAGAGGTTCGGGGAGCCGTCAGGCTGAAGAAGGAGGCCTACAGGGCGTGGCTGGTCTGTGGGTCTCCGGAGGCGGCAGACAGGTACCGGATAGCCAAGCGGGGTGCAGCAGTGGCAGTTGCCGAGGCAAAATCTCGGGCGTAGGAGGAGTTTGGTGAGGCCATGGAGAAAGACTATCGATCGGCGCCAAAGAGGTTCTGGCAAACTGTCCGGCACCTCAGGAGAGGGAGGCAGCAACTCGCCCACACTGTTTACAGTGGGGATGGGAAGCTGCTGACGTCAACTGGGGCTATAGTCAGATGGTGGAAGGAATACTTTGAGGAGCTCCTCAATCCCAACTACGCGCATTCCGAGGAGGAGCCAGAGCCGGGAGACCTGGGAATGGACTGTCCAATCTCTGGGGCAGAAGTTGCTGAGGTAGTCAAACAACTACACAGCGGCGGAGCCCTGGGGGTGGATGAGATTCGTCCAGGGTATCTCAAGGCTATGGATGTTGTAGGGCTGTCGTGGTTGACACGTCTCTGCAACATTGCGTGGTCATCGGGGGGCAGTTCCTGTGGAGTGGCAGACCGGGGTGGTGGTCCCCATCTTTAAGAAGGGTGACCTGAGAGTGTCTTCCAACTATAGGGGGATTACACTCCTCAGCCTCCCTGGAAAGGTCTACTCCAAGGTACTGGAGAGGAGGGTCCGATCGATAGTTGAATCTCAGGTTGAGGAGGAGCAATGTGGTTTTCATCCTGGCCGTGGAACAGTGGACCAGCTCTTTACCCTTACAAGGGTGATGGAGAGGGTATGGGAGTTTGCCCAACCAATCCACATGTGTTTTGTGGATTTGGAGAAGGCTTATGACTGTGTCCCCAGGGGCACCCTGTGGGGGACGCTCCAGGAGTATGGGGTGGGTGGCCTTTGGTTAAGGGCCATTCAGTCCCTTTACCAGAGGAGCGCGAGTTTGGTCCTCATAGCCGGTAGTAAGTCGGGCCTGCCCTTTGTCACCCGTTCTGTTCAATCTTTATGGACAGAATTTCTAGGTGCAGCCGTGGTGTGGATTGTGTCGAGTTTGGTGGCAGGAGAATCTCGTCTCTGCTTTTTGCGGATGATGTGGTCCTCCTAGCTTCATCCAGCTCTGACCTTCAGCTCTTGCTGGGTAGGTTTGCGGCCGAGTGTGAAGCGGCTGGGATGAGGATCAGCACCTCCAAATCTGAGACCATGGTTCTCGACCGGGAAACGGTGGCTTGCCAACTCCGGGTCGGGAGAGAGGTCCTGCCTCAAGTGGAGGAGTTTAAGTATCTCGGGGTGTTGTTCACGAGTGAGGGTAGGAGGGATCGGGAGATCGACAGGCGGATTGGTTCGGCGTCTGCAGTGATGCGGACGCTGAGCCGATCTGTCGTGGTGAAGACAGAGCTGAGCCAGAAAGCCAGGCTCTCGATTTACCGGTCGATCTACGTCCCAATCCTCACCTATGGTCATGAGCTTTGGGTAATGACCGAAAGAACGAGATTGCGGATACAAGCGGCCGAAATGAGTTTCCTCCGTAGGGTAGCCGGGCTCAGCCTTAGAGATAGGGTGAGGAGCTCGGACATTCGGGAGGGACTCGGAGTGTGTGTTATCTAATCCCTGCATTAAAAAGTTCCAATCTTCTGGTTTCAAATAACCTCACAGATCCATAAGGTGGATTTCATACTTCCTATGGAATCCTACGCCTTATGGCTCATTAAATAACATGTAATTAGTTTTATGGTATTTTTATATGGTACTTGCTGGTTTTAAAACTCAAACTGATGCTAAAGTTGGTAACCCAATGAAAAAAATATTCTAAACTACTCTGATCTATAACTCACCTAAGCAGGTCCTTTCTGTTGATGATGGTCTTCATGTAGTCTGAAAGCTTCTTCTGCATCAAGGCCAGACGTAACCAGGCCCGTCCTCTTCCCAGCGGAGTTCTCAGACCAGGTAGGTCTTTCACGCTGGCTGTAATCTCTCCTGCTTCAGGCGTCAGCTTCTCCACCAGCTCCAACGGGCCCCAGAATGACTTGTTCTGCCCCAGGAAGGTCTTCTTTGCTAGTGGTTCACAGAAAGACTTATGGTTTTAGGATCTGCAACATTTGGGTCTTCTGAGGAAAATAAAGTGAGTGTAAAACGTACTTTTCAGTCCATGTTTGAGGCAGTGCTCCATCACCACAAAGAACTGCTGCAGGGGGGCGTAGTCAGAGTCGAGCGTGCGTCCGAGATTCAGCGCCGACTCGATCAGACCCTTAATGCTCAGCTTGGCCATATTCATCAAGTTAAGCCTTTCTATGGCAATCGGATCTTTGGGATCTGGAAGGAAAATTCAAAAGAAATGCTAAAATGGTAAGTGGCCTGTATTATACATAATAATAATAATAATAATAATAATAATAATAATAATTATTATTATTATTATTATTATTATTATTATTATTATTATTATTATTATTATTATTATACATTTTACTTAAAAGCAGCTTTCTTAACAGTCAAGGTCACTCACTGTACAGGATAAAAACAAAAATCCTTAAATAAAAACATAAGTAGACATAAGTACAACATAAAACAAGGAAAGAAAATAAACAAGAAAATGAACAAGGCACTCTAAAATTCTAAGTAAATAGGCAGTTTTGAAGAGGTGAGTTATGAGTTGGTTTTTGAATTGAATGAGTGATAAATGATGTGTCTTCCACATTCATAAACACCCCAAAAATGGCAAAAAATGATCATTTCCCTTGCCAAAAATTGATTACAGTGTCCTGGTCACCTGTAAAGGGTTAAATTGACCTAAATATTACTTTATTTATTATCTCTTGATGTTATTAGTCTTATCACAGGATGCTGGGTCTCTTCCACATTCATAAACACCCCAAAAATGGCAAAAAAATATCTTTTTTTTTTGCCATTTTTCAGGTGTTTATGATGATACAGTAGAATGTATGAGTACAATAACATCAACAGATAATACATAAAACCCTTATTTGGTCAATTTTAGCCTCCATGAAAAACTGAGCGATTCAGTCACTTTTTGGCAAGTGAAATGCCATTTTAGTTGTCTATGATTAAATCATCGATAAAGAATTTAAAGATATTTTGAGGCGTTTCTTATTTCTAGACAAAATTCCCCAGGATTTCGCCTTAAAACTCAGCATATCTAGCAATGTGGACAATTTTCTTTTATTTCATATTTTAGTAGCAGACCACGGTCTCGTTTGACTTGAAACATGTCAAATGAAACGATTAATCAGAAGATTCAATAGAATATTCAAATACTAAAATATCCACTAGCTGCAGTTCTATTTAAACCTTTAACAGAAAAACAAACGAACAAGAAGACACAAAAACACAACCTGCACCAAACCAAGGTGCGCCTGAGAAGAGAAACGTTTATAAATACAACACGGTGGTGTTGTACCTGAACAAGTTCATTTAGCAATCATTTGTGAACTTGTTGGGGTTTTTTTTGTCAACGTAAACCAAACGCGTACGTATTTTTGCCTGATGGATAATAAAGTAAACTCTCATTCTGGCGTGTGAACAGATTTATGAACGGCACTCTCCTACAGTCTGAAAGCTTCAGATCTCCACGGAGCTAACGCCTTAGCTAAAACATCCTGTTAACCATAAAAAGTAGCAATCAGTGTGGTGTCTACTCTTCTATGTCTATGCCGTTGAGGACGGACCTCTGTATTGAACAGATCTACACTAATTGGACCAAAAGAAATAGTTTCTTTTTTTATTACACTGACAAAAATGTCTGAAGATATTTCAGCATCAGCTTTATAGTAAAGTACGTGAGTGAGACTCGCTTTACCAGGAATCCGCTTTGGTGGTTGTTATTGTTTTTTAATTATATGCACTACTGGTGATGGTGGTCAAAAAGAAAACATATCATTTTTAACAACTGTCATTACACTACAGCGCATTTTGGAGTGAAGCATCAATCTGATGAATACTTAAATATGCTTAACCTATTTAATGATTGTCCCAGTTTACTGTCCCCAGCAATTCTAAAAACAAACTGATGCCCTTGGTGTGTGTGTGTGTGTGTGTGTGTGTGTGTGTGTGTGTGTGTGTGTGTGTGCGTGCGTGCGCGCGCGCGTGCGTTTGTTTTAGTGGCTATAATTGTTGCCGTTTTTAAAAGAGCTGTTAAACAACTTCAACCCAGGTCTAACCTGAATCATTTTGAGGATTTGAAAGAGCAAGTCATCGTCAAATCAACTTTGTTTTGCTAAGGATCTCTATACATGAGTGTCTACCGTATTTTCCGGACTATAAGCCACTACTTTTTTCCCACGCTTTGAACCATGCGGTTTATAACGAGGTGCGGCTTTACTGAAGATTTCCTTCACCTGCCAGGGGGCGCTTTAGCAGAAAGTGAGACAGGTGGAAGTCAAAAGTGGAAATCGAAGATAGTGCTCATTTTAATTTAGCACATGCAAGCAGCCGGCACGACGAAGAATTTTTTTCAAGTCCATACCCCCTCATCATGTTAACTACACGTATGAGTTCATATGATGCCACATTTAAGTTGAAGACCATCGATCTGGCAGTAAAGGAGGGAAACAGCGCTGCCGCCCGTAAGCTTGGCATGAATGAATCCATGGTTCAGCGCTGGAGATGGCAGCGGGAAGAAGTCATTCAAGCCAGCTTCACCCGGGGATGATGACAGCAACACGGACAGCGACACTGACATCGCCACAGAAAAGGTATGTGACGAAGCTCTTCTGAGGCTGTTCAACTCCGACACTGAAGAAGAGGACTTTAATGGCTTTAGTGCGCAGGAGGACGATGAGAGCGAATGACTTTTTCTGGTAGGCAAGTGTGTTTTATTTACTAACCAGGCATGTTTTGTGTGCAGTTTTTATTTTCCAATCATCCAGGGATTATTAATGCTGTGTCAGCGCCGTTCTTTTCTTCTAAACATGCAAATTACCGGTAATAACGTGTCAGTGTTCTTTTTATTTTATAACATCCAGAAATATGAATGCTATCAGTGCTGTTTACTTTTCTAAACATGCAGGCACGTTCAAACGTGTTTAAAATTCATTTTGTTGAATTAAAACAACGAAAAACCTCCGTGTAGCGTCTTTCTGTCTAATTATCTTATGTTACGGCCGTACATGCGCTGTGCACCGGAGACCTGCATGTGGCTGCTGCACCGCTGCTTGTATTTGAGTGCGGCGTGTGTGTGTAGAAAACCTTTTTTTTTTGTTGGTGCGGCTTATATTGAGGTGCGCTCTATAGTCCAGAAATTACGGTAATCATGCTGTAGACGTGCAGTCAATATTTTGGCACTTTAGTGCATCTTAGTTCATATTTAAATATTCTGCCTAAAACTGTCAATGTTGCGCAGTTGTCAGGTAAAAACTCTGCACTGCATTTGAATTGAAATCTGCCATCACCATTGACTAAGAGGTACACTATGACTTTAGCTGGTACATCATGATGTCACAATGTCATTGTGAGCCTGTGTGTGTGTATTTGTTAGCAGCTCTATGGGATTAGATTTGTGCCAATAGGATCATGAAAAACACAAACAAATATTAAGAAATTGAGAGAGAAAAAATCATTTCAAAAGTAAAACTTACAATCTGAATCAGCTTCTTAAAATGATCAAGAAAAACACTTTGACGCTCAAACAAAATTAAAGAAATTGACAGAACAAAAATATTGACTAAAGAAAGGAATTTATTTTTTTAAGTAAAACTTACTATCTGAATCAGCTTGTTAAAATGAGTAATAAAGTATGTTTCCTTTTTCTGATCGCCTCCATGTGATTTTGTTTTCAATTTCCTTTGTTTCATTCTTGCTGCTCAGAGCTTTGCTCTCAATACCAGATTTACACTTACACTTTCTGGCTTTCTCCTTTGCAATCCCTGAGTTTTTGGTTGCAATTCCGACATATTCCTCTCGGGTGGGTGGGACTTCTCAGAAGTCCTCTCCCATAGGACAGTGGTTTCTCTTTAGTGACAGTTCAGTGACCCGGAAGTGATGCAGCCTTTAAGACTTTTTTCCCCCCCACCTCAGTCAACAACGTGAATTTTGAGCCCCAAACACGTTATTTCTGCTGTCTGTAATATCTACTGAGGATCTAAAGTGAGTATTGATAATACATTTTATATTTTCTTGGGCACTCTTAGTTAATCTGTAAGTTAAGCCACTTTTTAAATAGGTTTTAACCAGACGCTAGCTCACTAGCTAGCTGCTAAGCTAGCCATCGTGCTAGCCTCCAGGACAATGCTATATTGCTTCCGAGAGGCGTGTTAAAGTCTCATCTTAACACATTCATTACTGGTTACAGAGAACAACATATTATTGCAGTTTATGTTAAGTTTACTACTTTTTCAGGAACCTGTGGAACATCAGAGACTTTGCAGCTACTGGAGCTAACCTGTGTACAGCTAACTTGCTACAGAGGAAGCAGCAGAAAGCTGAGCTAACAGGCTGTTTTGCAGGTAAATACTCTTAGTGGAACTGCAAGATTTTTATGGTATAACTCAGACAGAATCTACATGAGCTATTGTGGGAAGACATTTAAACTACATTTACAAACAGATGCATGTATTTTTTTATTCCATGTTATTGGGACGGGCTAAACAAGTTCACACTTCTGCCTGCTCCTATTTCAATCAAACGAATGGTTTATATGGCGTAACTCTGACTGAATAATCATCTAAGTGAGTATGTGTGAAAATAAATTTCTTACCAGTACAGATCTGACATTTGTTTGTCAGAACAGGACAAATCAGATTCAATGTGATGTTTCAGATCGTAAGTTTTACTTTTGAAACGATTTTTTTTTTCTAAATAATAAATGACCCGCACTTGTATAGCGCCTCTCAGAGTAAGGACTCCAAAGCGCTTTACACTACAGTGTATCATTCATCCATTCACACACACATTCACACACTGATGGTGATGAGCTACGATGTAGCCACAGCTGCCCTGAGGCGCACTGACAGAGGCGAGACTTCCGAGCACAGGCGCCACCAGTCCCTCTGACCACCACCAGCGGGCAAGGTGGGTTAAGCGTCTTGCCCAAAGACACAACAGCGGAATTCTATGTCTGGAGCCGGGATCGAACCTGCAACCTTTCGATTACTGGACAACCAGCTCTACCTGTTGAGCCATTTCAGCTGCTCTCAATGTCCTACTATTTGTTTGATCTCCAAAGTGTTTTTCTTGATCCTTTTGGCACAAATCTAATCCAATGCGGCTCCGCCCTCCTGGTCTGCCAGACAACAGCATTTGTTGCATTTTCAAACAGGAAGTGTGAGTGGAGTAAGACTCTGGTAGGGGGTGACTAGCTCTTTAACTGTCAAAATGCCAGTTTTATTACTCAGTATAATATAATTATATATAATGTAATTGCTGTAATTTATGGGGGAAAAAATTTTATTTTCCAAGAAACAACCTTTTCCTCCTGGGTCATTTATTGCAAATCATTTGTAGTTATGTTATGAATATGTAAAACTTTAAATGTTTCCCATGAACAGTTTTTGCGTAGCAAAAGATCCACAACCCTCTTGTGTCATTAGGGACAAAATGGCCACTTCTAAAAATGGCTTTAATTAACATTTTTTTCTGCTTTTTGCACTTAAATCTTGTGATTGGTTTCAGTTCTAATTAAAACAATCAAATATTGAGTATTTATCTGAATTTTAACCTCATATATACCAGCTTGATTACATGATGCTAACTTTTTAATGCAAGAGGCAGACAAAAGAGGAGATGTTTGCATATTTGCATACATGCTATGACATTTGCATGAATGAGTTCATCGTTATTGTATTTTTGGTTCCGTGTTTTCCAACCATCAACAAAGTTCTCATCTCAAAAGATGTGAAGCCACAAAGAGCCTTTTTTCATTTTAAACTATCTTTAGATATTTATCGTTAATGTGCAAGATTCTAGCCACCTTACAGCAAGTCTTTAAAGTACATTTGTTTACCATCTAATATCTAAGAAAAGGAGGAGTATTAGTTTATAACCAAGACAAAACAAACCTCTAATTTACAGAAAAGTGAAACCTTTTAAAGGATTTTCTGATGCAAACTGATGAAACAGCAAAGCAGTTATGCTGGTGGTCTGGAGTGAGAGTTTACACCCCCAGCTCTGCGGGTACCAGGCTGGACCCCTACCTTAAACCTTGGGGCCACTGATGCAACAAAATGCTCCTCAGAGGTTCTGCTGTGTTTAAGGTCCCTTAAACATCCATTCTAATGTTGTTGCCTGAATGCCGCAACATGATTGGCTGAGAAGGCTGAGAAAGGAAACATGTTTCTGTACATCCTGTGAATCTTTTCCATAAAGACCTGAACTTCCTGGCAGATAAAACACCTGAATTAGCAGCAGCACCTCCTTTTTGCTTTGATACCACTCCCCAGTTTATTGACAGCTGGTGTGACTCTTCTGTACAGCTCCCAGAAACCCATCAGGACACATCTGAAACCACACAAGTCCCCGGTCTCTGGAGCACCACGCCCTGGTGGGGATCACAACAAACCTCCCATTTACCTTCGTGGGCCGGTTCTGGGTCGGGCGTGAGCGAGATGTCGTTGAGCTCACGGAGGCAAAGCCACTCGCCATCAACAGAAACGCGAAAGTTGCAGAGATAGATGGTCTCTCGGGCAGCCTGGGTGATCTTATCTGTGGTGGGGGTCGGGGTCTCGCTCTGAGGCGTCAGGTCAGACATGATGACTCAGCTTTCACCAGACACTAACCAACAGCAGCCTTTGTTCAGAGAAACGAACCCAAAAAGACACGCAGAAGTAGAAGCCAGATGGGATGGAGAAGAAACCAAAAGGCCCGCTGCTCTTCCTCCTCTTTATGCCTGCCTCCTCTCCTCCTCAGTGGAACCGAGGGAATCAGTCCTCCTCTCCCCTCCCCCCTTCGTAGGCAGAAAAGAGCAGCGTGCTGAGGGAAAGCCCCGCTCTTCTCCGGTCCGGTTCTGCTCAGCACCGGGTGGCTCTGACTGGACTGCCTGTGCTCTGCAGTCAATGCACTGGTGGGTGTCAACCAAGATGGCTGACGGTGATGCTGGGAAAAGCAACACACTTGTCATGTGAGCAGATGGTGCATGCGCAGAGAAAGGATGGGGGGGGGGGTGATGCTAATGAAGCAGCAGAGGACTCGTGGTCCTTGATGCACCAGCAGCCTCCAGCTGAGCTGTTCTCTCGTTGATGTGGTTAGTGGGCCGCCGCAGGAGGAGCGACGCTAGGGCTAAGGTGCTGCTCTTCATAAACACTCCACACACACACACACACACACGCACGCACACACATTATTTTTCAGGTTCAGCACTCAGATGATGAAATAGAAATGCGGAGAGTGAAAAAGTGCAGGAAAACTTGAGACTTGTTCTAGATGTATTGCCTGAGTGAAACTTCTGAGCCACTTCATCACCGCCGTGGAGACGTGACTCCAGACATCAGTGACATTACACACACACTGCTCCTAAGTCCTGGCGTTGGAAACGCTGGCTCAGATTATAGGAGGTTGGTCAGACTCGATATGAGGCGAGGAAATAAAAACGCGATCTGCTTACTTCATATAAAATAAAGCTGGTCAGAGTTAAGAACTTAAGGTTCTGAACAAACTATGCCCAACAGAACCTTATAAGACCATGTCCGACTCAGAAGGTTAGCTCTTAAAAAGCTGATGACACGTGTGTTAAACCCCATACTGACTTCTAGAGTCCTTTAATAAGTAAACAATGGGTGGGAATTGTACACGTCAATTACGATTCATAATTAAAGTATGACCGCTTGAGTCAGAGCGTCTCCAACTGGGGCCAAAAAAGTTTATTGTCAAAATATACGGCCTTCATATTGGATATCATCCAGCCGCAGAGCCTGAGCTACGAGACCACGTGACCCACTTTCAGGTGCTCCTTACACAACTACAACTTCGATTAAATGAATCATGACAAATCACTCTTCGTGAAGAAAAGAAAGCTACATTTAGTGGCTGGTAGAAAGAAGGCAGGCAGGAACTTTATTCGTGTTAACTTTACCGTTTTTACAAAACACCGTCCATTTGCCGCAACGCCGTGGCGGCATCAGGGAGCCTTAGGTGGTTTATAAGTGGTCAGACCGCGGCAGTAATGTGGAACAATCTTGTTCTTTTTATAAAAGATTAGGCGATGGCGGTATAACCCTCCCACTGTCATTGAGCAGGGTTGATGGTTTATCCCTTGAAGTCCACATGGCAGGGGTGAGGTGTGAACGCCACCTACTACTGTCACGGCGGAGCTCTCACTCCAAGCCTGGAACGAGCCACCTGCACAAGGACTACAACTTTGTCCCCTCCCCCCGCCCTCTGTCTAAAGCTGGGCGGACACTGTGCGACTTTTTCACTCGTAGCACTCAGCTTCAGCTCAAACCGTACGACTTCCTCGCAGGGTAGATCTCGCGAGTCATGTGCTCACACTGTACGTCTGGTAGCAACACGTCGGACCTAAAAATATGCTAAAAATAGCAGTTTTTACACAACACGTCAGACTTTTTGGTCTTGTTTTGCCTGTTGTCCTTCGGGAGTGCTGCAGGAGGACGCACAGGGATTTATGGGGTTGGATGAGGAAACGAAATAAAGAAAGTAAATCTGTGTTTTGTGATCAGTTTAATTTGACATGAACACGACAAACACGCTTTCTTGACAATCTTTGTCACTGTGTGGAAAAAAAAAAGTTTAGAAATAAAAACGAACAACGTGTGTTATTAGGGAAATAGTGGGCGAGCGGTGTTGATGCATGATTGCACCGTGAGCGGTTCTGATACTTTTTGGGTCGCAGCCGCTCGCATCGCCGCTTCAACAGCGCGATAACCTCATGAGGGACCCCCGGCTTTAAGGGAACACATGCAGTTTCGTGTCTCCATTTTGACCAGATGCTAAAGGGTCAAACTGTACTTAAAAACTGACCATTGCTGGATGCTACAACTCTGATGCTGATCTCACCTGACAGAAAAAAGGTTTCTCTTTTGAAAAACCAAAAACTGCTGGTGGACCTTTTCATGCACAAGTTGCGTACACTGTGCGACTTTTTCACTTTTTTGAGCCGATTTTCCACTCGTGCGAGAATCCACGAGATCGGGGCGAGTTTTGCGCTGAGCGTCGTGTCGTGTACAGAGGGTTACGATATGCGATTAACACCACGTGACCAGTTACCGATCAGCAATCGTGAGCTCGCATGGACTTCTGGCATGTTTGATATTTTGCTCGTCCCTCGTGAGGGTATCGCACTGTTGAAGCGGCGCAGCGAGCAGCTGCGACCCAAAAATTATCACTGCTCATGGCGCGCGCATGCGCAATCATGCATCAACACTGCTCGCCCGCTATTTCCCTAATAACACACGTTGTTCGTTTTTATTTCTAAAACGATTTTTTTTACACACAGTGACAAAGATTGTCAGGAAAGCGTGTTTGTCATGTTCATGTCACATTAAACTGATCACAAAACACAGATTTACGTTCTTTATTTTGTTTTCCTCATCCAACCCCATAAATCCCTGTGTGTCCTCCTGCAGCACTCCCGAAGGACAACAGGCAAAACAAGACAAAAAAGTCTGACGTGTTGTGTAAAAACTGCTATTTTTAGCATATTTTCAGGTCTGATGTGTTGCTACCAGACGTACAGTGTGAGCAGTCAGGTCACATCCGAGAACTGGGTCGTGCAGTGTGAGCACATGACTCGTGAGATCTACCCTGTGAGGAAGTCGTACAGTTTGAGCTGAAGCTGAGTGCTAAGAGTGAAAAAGTCGCCCAGTGTCCGCCCAGCTTAAATCTACCTGCCTTCATCCCATCAGCTGGAGCTCAGAGCCTCTCTGTAGCTCTGAACACAGATAAAAAATTGTCAACAATAATGTTCTCTCCTCAAGGTCCAAGCTTCCCTTATCGTCCTACAGGATTCTTCATGCCTCTGAATAAGGAGCATTCGCAGCTCGGATTAGTTGCTAAATCAAAGAATGATTTCTTAAATTAAATATGAGCATTTAAAACATATAAGTTAAATCATCATTAAATAAACGTTTGTTTATTGTCACTTATAATAATTATAATATAATGAAATGATTTCATTAATCTGTGTTTGAAGTTTGAAATGAATGTTATGTTATGATCACATTTTAAGATTAATATATGTTTCAGCATGGTGATATGACAAGGTCATCACCATTTGCACTCATACAAGGACAAAGTAAAGTTAAGTCAAACGTTTGACACATAGATAGTCCTTTACCCCAGATCAGAGCATCCGGTATCTAAGAAGCCATGTTTCTGAGGTTATCTTGGTAATATTCCTCAACTTGTCAACGCCGATGTAGAAAATCACCGGGAGCGTTTCTCCCTTCATAAAGGAGCTTCTTTCAGACATTAGGAGAGCACTTTTGGTGGTAGCAGTTTCTCTTGAACTTGAACTTAGCGTTGGTAAAGCTACTGTTAGCATTTTCGCTAACAGCTTCTTGCATTTGGATAAGCTGTTATGTTTTGGTTTAGAGTTCATCTTTTTTGTGGTGCAGATCTCCCTTTTATTACATTTAGAGTGTTGTGGGTTTTTGGTTTAGTTTAAAATATCACCTTGAGTTTGGTTTAACCTAGGGCTGCAACTAACGATTATTTTCATAATCGATTAATCTGTCGATTATTTTTTCGATTAATCGGTTTGTTATTGTTTAGCTATTTAACCTATACAAAAGATGAATACATTTCAGTTAAGAAAAAGAAAAACATAAGAGAATTGTGCAGTTGACTGCAATCTATTTTATTGCACATGAACACAGTCAGCAGTGTAAAATGAGCTAAACAGTGCAAAATATCAGTCCAGAATAATTTTTGGCATCAAAATATAAGAGGTAAATTCCATAAAAAATAATGTAGAATCTGGAATAGAGTTTGTAAGTGGTATGCATTGCTGGGGGTGAGTGTCTTGTTCCCCATGTAGTTGTCCATCGTTGCTTGTTTTTTTCTGCATAAGAAACACAAATAAACTGAAATAAGTACACATATAAAATAAAGCAGCACACACACTACAACACTAAATCAATATTACATTATTTGAATTAATTAACAATATACAGTGATCATTTAATTTGACAAAAATGTGTTGTGAGGCGTTTTATGGCGTTAGATAGTAAAACAGCCTTTTAATAGTTAAAAAAAGGACTTTCTGAATTTCTCCTGTATTTAAAAATTGAAAGCGTACAACTATGCCGCGTTATATTCACCTGGACACAGCTCGTCTGTATATTTTTCACTGCGGAGTTGTCCTTTTTTGAATGAGGAACATAGTTATGGGTTTGTGCCGTTTTTCTCTTAACGAGAACATTCTTATAAACAGACGTGCTGAATTTGGCAAGCGCATGATTCACAACACGGAGGAGATTCACGATTGCATCTAGTCAATCAGAAGTAGAACACCGTAAACTGACGCGGCAAAAAAACATGTTTAACATCCACTATAACGAACTCAGCTAACACTAAGTCCCAAATGTGATCTGCGTTAGCTTGTTTATTTTCTGTTACTTACCGGACATTCCTCTGCTGCATCAGCCCCCACGTTTTCGTCTCAAATGTTCACTTAGGGACGTCGTGCTTCCGTCGTGCCATGGTTTTTTGCATATTTTGCAGGTCACCGGTCTTTTCAAGGCATCTAGTGAAGTGCTCCCATACTCGTGAGGTTTTTGTCCGGGGTTTCTCTTGTTTTGTCGCTTCTATTTTTCTTCCGTATTTCTTGTTGATCCGCCATCTCTCACAGCAAGATGAGCGTCAGTAACGTGATACGTCATGAAAACCGAGGGCACTTATTGGCTCATTTCTTCTTCTACGGCTCCACTGGTAGATCAGTGGCTCATTACTGCCACACACTGGCGGCAAATTTAACAGATTGTAACCGATGTCAGATTGTGGTAAAAAATAGACTTTATGCGGTAAAATATGATTATTAAACAACTAATCGATGACTAAAAAAGTTGTTAACTATTTTAATAATCGATTATAATCGATTAAATCGATTAGTTGTTTCAGCTCTAGTTTAACCACCCAG